ATAAAACAGCGCTAGAATCAGCCCGTCAAGCCCTAAATCTTTTACTCACGGATCATGCCGCCAAACAACTCCATCGCACTGCCCACAAATTTTATCTCAAAAGCAACAAAGCGGACTCCCTTTTGGCCTCCAGACTCCGACGGTTAGACCCCACGTTCAAACCTATTCGCCTAAAAACCCCTATAGGAACCCACACTAGCACTCCGACCAAGGTCCTGGAAATCTTCCAACAGCACCTCTCAAATTTATACGCCTCCCAAGACTCTTTCTCTACAGACCTGGCCAACAACTTCTTTGCAGACCTAGATCTCCCCTGCCTCACATCATCCCAAAAAGCCTCCCTTGAAGAACCCTTTACAGAACAAGAGGTCCTGCAAACAATCAAATCATTGCCCCGAGGCAAGAGGCCAGGGGTAGACGGTTTCACTGCAGCCTATTACGTTGCTTTTAAAGACCTCCTAGCCCCTCTACTGACCGCGACATTCAATTCTCTCCGCACAGGGTCATCCCTGGGCCCTGAATCCCTCACAGCCCTGATCTGTATGATACCCAAACCCTCCTCTGACCACACCAATCCCTCAAACTACAGGCCGATATCCCTCCTTAACGTAGATGTGAAAATCATGGCCAAAGTGTTAGCCAATAGACTTAACTGCGCGATAGGACACTTGGTCTCGAATGACCAAGTAGGGTTCATCCCCACCAGGCAAGCTAGTGACAACATTCGCAGAATCTCTCTCCTTACCCACATAGCCAGAACTAATAATATTCCAACCATGCTCCTGTCTCTGGATATCAAAAAAGCATTTGACAGTGTCTCCTGGCCCTATTTATTTCATACACTGCGACATTGGGGCTTTGGACCCTTCTTTATAAGATGGATCTCCTCTCTTTACAACCAACCGACTGCAAGAGTAAAATACGCGGGTCTCTGCTCCCAACCCTTTCCGATCTTGAGAGGAACCAGACAGGGTTGCCCAATATCCCCCCTCCTGTTCGCCCTAGCATTGGAGCCCTTAGCCCAGAGAATTCGTAGATCACCTGACATTACAGGAATAGAACATGAGAAAACCTCACATAAGATGTGTATGTTCGCAGATGACGCACTGCTCTTCGTGACAAACCCCATAGTATCTCTGCCCAACCTTACTAAACTCCTGTCGGACTTCGCCTCATTCTCAGGTCTAACTGTCAACCCCTCCAAATCTATAGCTCTAAACATCACTTTACCCCCGGTTTTGGTTGACTCCCTGCAAAGCATGTATCCTTATCAGTGGCGGAAGGACCACCTACCATATTTGGGAATCAAATTGGGGAGCTCCTACCAGTCTTTATACTCAGCAAACTATCCTGACATGATTACGAAATTGATTGCCCTATTAAAAACATGGTCCCAATATCACCTATCCTGGCTAGGAAGGATTGCAGCAGTCAAGATGACTCTCTTACCCAAGATCCTGTATCTATTTAGGGTCCTGCCAATAGCGGTTCCAGCTCCTGTCATTGGAAAGCTCCAAACTTATGTTTTCAAGTTCATATGGGGAGACAGAAAGCCCAGAATACCTAGGCGTACACTATACCTTCCAAAATCTAAGGGAGGACTGGCAGTCCCTCACCTGTCTAAATATTACTTAGCAGCACAATTGGGTCAATTGGTAAAATATCACTCGGTAATTGAAACTCCGGCCTGGGTGGACTTGGAATGCACCTTGGTGAAGCCCTCGTCAGTGGCTAACTTGTTATGGCTGGCCCCCAAACGAAGACCCCCCATTTCAAACCCCATAACCTCCCATTCCCTCAGACTGTGGGACTCTACCAAACTTCAATACGGTCTCATCTCCCCACACCTACCACTTATGTCCTTCCTAGATAATCCTTCCTTCACCCCCGCACTAACAGACCCGTCTAGATTCAAGGCCTGGACCATCCGCAACCTCACTCACTTCTGGCAGTTGCAAACTGACTCGGGAGTGAAACCCTTCCCACACCTGCAAGAACATACAAACTTGCCAAATAATGAGATATTCCGGTATCTCCAAATTAGTAACTACATTCATACCTCCTCCCCAAAACAGAGGAGCTCCCGCTCACTATCCCCCTTCGAGCAAGTATGTCGCGAAGACCCGCACAGCCCAGGACTGATATCACTTCTCTACGCCATCCTAGTCTCCCCCACAGATACTCTCCCCCCCTCCTATGTGAGACACTGGGACAGGGACCTTGAGTTGACTGTTGATGACGAAACCTGGGAACAATCCTGGGCTAATACTAGGAGCAGTTCAAGATGTGCAAGCATGTTGGAACTCAATTATAAAGTACTGATGAGATGGTACTTGGTGCCTACTAGAGTGGCTACTTATAAACCCGATTGCTCTCCCAACTGCTTCCGCGGCTGTCCGGATAGAGGTACATTCTTCCACACTTGGTGGAGCTTTCCACTAGTTTCTGATTTTTGGGACCTTATTCTCAACATCCTCTCATCCCTATTCTCGGTGCCGATACCCAAGGACCCTAGATTTGCGCTACTCAACTGTAGACCAGAATGCTTATCACGGAAACAATTCAACCTCTCAATGCATATTTGCACCTCTGCCAAAAGGGAGATAGCTAGGAACTGGCTGACCCCCACCCTAAATCTCACCAGTGTCATGAATCATGTACATTGGGTTATGGCCCACGAAAAACGAACTGCGCAACTTAGCGATAAAATGACCAAATTTGAAAATATCTGGTCCCCATGGATAGAGAAATTCTTAGACCCCAGCACCCCTCGCCGCCTATGCTCTATCTGACCTTCTCACCACCGTTGCCATGTATAGCACACACTGGTGCCACCACACGATCCGACTCCCCCTCCCCTTCTTCTTTTTCTTTCTCTCGCTTTTCCCTCTCTCCCTCTTCTGACCTCCAAACACCCTGACGTAACCTCATCTGAACCTGAGTGTACCCCTTTACCCTCTGTTGTCCTGTCTGTGTTGTGTGGTGTCGTTGTCCGTTATCCTACCTGGCTGACTCTGAGTCACGTTAGTGATAGTATATCTACTGCCACCTCCGGAAGCCACGAGGTCTTGAGTACTACTGAATGTACTTGACATACATTCTATTAGCCTCTTAATGTAATATTTACGTTGCTTAACGCTTTACTATCCCAAATATGAAGACAGTAACCATGAAAGGATATAGACTGAATATTAATTTGCAAGGATATATACTAAATATAACTAATCTAATACTCCCTGAAGACCTCTGACTCCCCGGATCTAATGCCATACAATATGATTACCTAGTAATCTGTAACAACCCCATACATATGTATCAAGCTGTACCTGCATAATACTGCTACATGTCCTTCTATTGAGATAATGGTCTGCGCACCATGTTGTGTAATGTTTCATCCTGATGGATGTACTGTGTGTTAAAATAATAAAAACATTTATATGGGAAAAAAGGACTGTACAACTTAGTGACAGAATGGCAAAATTCGAAACCATTTGGTCCCCGTGGATAGAGAATTCTGCTGCAGCAAACATCCCCCGCCGCCTTTATACGCTGTAATAGCTGTTCATCATCCTCACCCATGGAGACAACACCATCTACATTGGTACATGGCTTGACTATGCAACTATCCCATCACACTCTGAAATCCGACTTCCCATACCCCCCCTTATGCCCCCTCTTTCTCTGTGCGTCTCCCCCATTCTGTGTTGTGTTGTCTGTCTTGTGTGGTGCCACAAAATCCTCGTTTTGACCACTGACCACCGTCAGCACAAGCCCCATGCCTTTGGTATTCTATTTCTGATGCCCTCCTCTAGGGGAACTATGATGGGTTGTACTTAGTATCGGATGTATATGCATGCCATCTCATCCCTATATTTGGTGATACTTACCGACACCAAGCTAGATCATATGAATGGCTGATACGCCAAGTGCTAGATCCCGTAACCAGTGTGTCTTACTCAACGTTTATGCACTTGCACAATCTGTTCTGAAGCTAAATTTGATGTAATTCCTCTCCTTTTCCACTTGATGCCTACGCTCGCTTCTCTTCACCTGAGTATTTACAGAGAATACAGATGCAACACCTGCAATATTATTGCTAAAGTACACCTTCACTGGTTCCCATACGACAGTGTTTATTACTCATGCACCTTGTATTGTATTGTATTGTACTGTGATGTACCCCTTGACGTTTTAAAACAATAAAAAAACTATGGTTAAAAAAAAAAAAATGTCCACTGTGAGAAGAATGGGGAGGAAAGGAAAAATAAGGTATGCAAGGAATAAAAATCCAGCAATTATCTAGACGTATATGTGTGTAGATTGCCATTACTAGACATTTCTAAAGATGATTTTGTTGTGATTTCAAAGATATGGGTAAAGTTCCTCTTTAAAGAGTATTTCCAATTTTGAAGCCAAATTGGGATTTGTTAAAAATATTTCCTACATGTATAATATATATGTATATTTGTTACATGTTCCCTTTCTCATAGCATTACTTTAAAACATATTTCAATATTGTTGCTTACCTTTTTGCTTCCTCTTTTATGAAAACTTCAAAACTTTTTCCACTCTTTGTAACTTTCAAGGCCAGGGATGGGGAGTTAATGTTTACCATAATGAACCCTGTCTGTACTGTGCTGGCAGTCCTAGAAGTGAGAAGCGCTTCTCATTGGTCAGTGTGGTCATGTGACCATGCTGACCAAAGAGCACTCATCATTTCTGAGTGTTATGCTGGATCCTGAGTGCAGGGCTGCAGTGCGATGTACAGTGTAAGGTCTGGCTCTGATGCTTACAGATAAAAGGCATGAACAGAGGGGGCAGGGAGAGGTGGCATAGTTCGTTTTCTCACTATTATTTCTTCAACAGTAGAACTTGTTAATGAATTAAATGTCTCTGCTCTCTAATAAAAAGGTTTGTTTAACACTTCAGTCACGGGAACCTTATATGTCACACATAATGGACACTCATAATTTATTGCTATGTTCTGCTGTCTGTTTCAGCCAAGTCAAAGTTCTAGACAGAGAAGATGAATATTACAAACTGTTGTCAACTGCTGACTCAATTCCTGAGGAGGATCTTTCTGTTTGCTCTCCTTTGGCACAGCAAGAAATGTTTTTTGCCTCTAGCTAAACCTCTGTTCTCTAATCCACGCTATTTTGGAAACGGTAAGAATATGTTATATTTATGGCAGGGATAATCTTGTTTTCTGTAAAGATGACTAGAAGTTTGGACAAGTGGAAACCTACGTATACTATGACTGAATATACTATATACTGGGGAGAGGGAATGCACTAACACTGGAGCAGCTGTGTATAGCAATCAGCTTATATCTTGTTCAGTTGAGCTTTGAAAATAGAACCTAGAAGGTGATTGGTTGACATTCAGCTGCTCCAGATTCTGTCTGTTTTAGGAAATTCTGCTTGTATGATTACAGTTACACAATATGGTTGATTTATCAAATAAGTAGAGGCTGTTCACTAAAGAGCTGGCCATAGACCGCTTGAATTTCTGCTAATTCAAATTACGAGCCCTGTTGACAACCCCTTCCCACTCAAAAAATGTAAAATTTTTCAATCAACTTTTGTCAAGGTAGCCGGTGCGAACATTCTCGTCCAAACAGCGCTTGCACCCAGATGGGTCCAATGTTCGGCTATTCAGCTACTGCTGGAGCAGAAGCTGCTGAATACAATAGCCACCAGCATGGATACCCCCATCCATGGTGTTTAGTGTAGATGGGGGAATCAATGGGTTTCTCTTGTTCATCCCAAGGGGCTGAATGAGAGAAAATCTAAAGAAATATCTGCCTTCTAGGATTTTTTTTTTTATGTTAGTAAAATTCCCCTTTAAGCCCAGCTGCAGAGTTTGCCAGACAGCATTAGCAAAATTATCCAACTTTATGTGAATGGAGGGGCAGGAACAGGAGCAGGACAATGCCTTTGCTAGTATATCAGGGAACAGTAGTGGTTGGGGCAGGCTTTCCAATCTGTCTGGTCATTTATAATAAAGGATAACCCTTGTCCTTTCCTGTGAGTTAAACTGGAATACAAAATACAATCCCACCATGCTTCTGTGAACTAACTTTCCCCAAACCCCCATGTAATAAAGTTGAATAAAGGCAGGCATGTTAGTAGTCCAGCCTGGGTGGCAACAATGGCTACTTCCATAGATACAGTGGAGGTGTGAATGTACAGAGAGTGTGTTATTCACAGAATTACTAGCTTAAGATAAAAAGAAGAAAGCCTGAAATAAATGCAGCCACCAACTGGTAAGCTACAATATATAAAATGTTTGTACTTGAGTTTAGTTATCCTTTATGATACCCCTAGGTATGAGATAGAAGTTGCTCATACGGGCATCAGTTTCATATACAGTTTATCTTGGGGGGAACAACCAACCAAACAGATTGGATAGTGGTCAGCAGTGCCATTCACATTCACTACGAGCACCCTCCCCTGCTCCTGAGATATCCGGTATGGAGTGCAACAAGATCTTTATACATCTTGAGATTGGATAGCCTGCGGCAGACACTACGGACTAAGGCCCCTTTCACGCGGCTCCACTCCTGATCACAGCAGTACAGAGCGGATGTCACCAGTGACATCTGTGCCAGTACAGTTTTTTCCTCCATGTTGCGATGGAGTAAAAAACTGCAATTACCGTACCCCATGTTTGTCTATGGGGAACCAAAGGTTAACGGCACGATCCGGTCCGGCGAAACGGATCTCTGATCAGTCTGTTTTTCCGGACTTGGCCAGAGTTGGGGGTAACCGGGTGTAAATGGCCGCCCATCCATTTAAACACAGCTGCCCATAGACTTACATAGAAAAACTCCAGGTGGACCGGATCAGAGCAGCCATGTGAAAGGGGCCTAAGAACTGGTAAGCTGCAATACATTCAATTTTTGTTTTTGGATTCTGTTACATCTTAAGCTTGTGCTGCAAAACCCATCCTCCTTCTTGCCCTTAGATTCCTCAGAGCAGATATCTCTTCTGAACTGGAGTAATCTTCTAGTATTTACACTATATTATAAGGCTGTTCTAAGTCAACTCCAGTACTGAGGTAATTTCTGTATTCCCAACAATCTTCAAAAACCTGCCCTGCAGCAGTGGCTGAATCTAGAGATCAAAGTGTCCTCTATGTCAAGTTTCCTTTTTTTTTCCCCTCTCCCTTCCCCTGTTCTTTTATTTGTGTCCCTGTGTGCTATTCATGATCTTCCAATAAACACTCCAGCAACAGGACGAGTTTTTGAAATCTCAGCCTCTGTTTCCGGCCCTCGTTGTGACACAGCTGTATGTGCATCAGCTTTAAGGCTAAAATACACAGACAGCTTTAAACTTGCACTATTGAGTGGTTTAACCACATTCGGACAGGCTCCACATTCGCAACTCGACTTCAATGTTTTACACATAAGGTGATTGCCAACAAGCGGTTAAAATGCTTAGTAGCAAGATATTAAAAGCACCCATGTAGTTTAGCCCTAAATCTGTGTTTATGATGCAGCTCCTGCTTCGGTTTTATTAAAAAGTAATCACATCCAGACAGTCTGAGTGTGGCATAAACAAGATGTCTCAGTTTACTCCTCCACAATAGCATTGGAAAATATTTATTGAAGCCACATTGAAGCTAAAATCTAAACTACTGAGGCAGCATTATTCTGAGAGGTCTTGTATTAACTGAAAAGGGGAAAGTTTGCTTATAGAGGATTGTTTTAATGCTAAAAAATATACTATTGAAGCGCATAAGTAGCTATAACCAAAGGCACGGTTCTAAATGGGTGGGATTACGAGTACAAATCACATAAAATGTGCTTTGTGGATCATATTATGCTTAACTGTCTACAACCTGACATAATAGACCACCTGCCAGACAAGGGAAAGAACAAACTCCACGTGCAACTCAACTGTATGTCTCATGAAGCACAGCAGGTTAGGCATTATGCAGTTCAGCAGCAAGTGATGAAAGTCCCATATATAGTCTAGCACTGGATCTGTAGGGGTCAACAGCAGGGAAACCCAGTGGTACCGGTACCTACACCTAATATATCTGCTACCTTAGCTGTCAAACCTCAGCAATGCACTATTCCTTGCCTTAAAGTGTATACAAAATCCACATGCTTTTGTTACTTTTGGACACAGTTTGGAAGTGTTAAAACCCCAATATTATTATTATTATTATACAAGATGCATATAGCGCCAACAGTTTGTGCAGCGCCTTACAATATAGGGAAGACATTATAATTACAATACAATTCAAGACAAAATGGTAGGGAGGGCCCTGCTCATGGGGGCTTACAATCTAAGAGAGTTTTTATTGCTGTCCACCCCTCCTCAAAGCAGCCTCCTCCTTCCGCATTAGATAAATTCACCATATTTGTCCTGGTGACCACTGCCACCAGGACAGATAGTAATAGGAAATCCAAAATATTATAGTTGTCACCAGAACAAGAATAGAGAAGTAATCTTCCAGTGGGGACTGGGGATGAGGTTCAGATTCGGGTAACCCCCCCACCCGCCAATCACTCCATTGGTTTCCAGTCACTCAAAGGACAAAAATTCAAAATATTAACAACCACTTACAAAGCTGAACCAGTAGTAAAACCCATAGAAGAAATTACAGTAGAATACTGCATATTTGGATAGTTTGAAGTAAAAAGAATACAGAAATATTCACATTTGGCGGATTAGAGTATATTTGCCACTGCGAGAAAAATGGTGGGTAGTGAACTATAGCCATAAACTTGAGTAAGAAAGGTAAGGACATTAGAATAGAGATAGATCAATAGAAGGTAAGTAAGAAAGCTTTTGGAGTGTGTCTGTGAGCATTGTGTCTCTATTCAGCCAAATTATGAGGTCAAGCACTGATGCTGGACATAAAGACCTGGCTTGCAGTTGGTGTTTTTTTAAATATTCAATTTTTATTGAAATTGTTCAAGTATTACATATACAAACTCAGTATACACCGTCAGGCCAGTGGGCCTCTAGTTACGTAAATCAATAATATTATTGCAGCCTGCTGTTGGTGTTTTAATCCATTCCAAAGGGGGGTTTGATAGGGTTTAGGTTAAGGTTTTGTTTAAGACCACTCAGGTTCCTGCACACCAAACTTGTGAGTGCCTTCCCCAAACTGGCTGTAAAGGTGCCCATACACTGCACGATTCTCGTACGAGAATCGCAGGAAATCCAGCGATCGTACGATAATCGTGCAGTGTATGGAAGGCGTGCAGCCGTTTCTACTGTACGGTCGCACGTCTTCCGTCGAACAAGCAGGCTTGAAAACCCACCGAGAATCGTTACGTTAGTGGCCTGCTTGTTCGACAACTGCCGAACGGCCGGTGTGCGCACGTGCACACTGCCCGTTTGCAGTGATTGGAAGTCCGCCCCTCATTGCGGTCATCGGAAGCCTTTCGATGATCGCAAGTAAGATCTGCCTGTCCAAGATGGGCAGATCGTACGAGCTTTTAATAAGCTTATGACCATCACAAGACAAAAGTCTTGCGATGGTCATAAGGTGTATGGGCACCATAAGGCACAGTTGTGTACAATGTCTTTGCAATGTATTCTGTAGCATTAACAGCACCCTTCACTGGTAACACCTGAACTCAATAATTTGGAGGGGTGCACACAAACTTTTGGTAACATAGTGTAATTTTCTACAAGTGCTCTTTAAACTGAATTAAACTCTCGGTCCAAAAGTTGTAGTAAATACTGAATTGTTCAGTTTCCTTGTCTTATAAAGGTTTGGAATCATAACTCCCATGGAGAATAGGTTGCACAGCCCGCTGCTTACACATCTTTTATGTCTCAGTTGCCGTGCATTGTTAATCGTTTGATAGGCTCTATTTAAGTGCAATTTATGTAACATTTTTAAAGCCTTCCTTTCAGAGTGATTTTTAATATACTGCTTTTGATCTACTGTTGCCACGTGGAGAATGAAAGCTAAGACGCTTGAAAATTGGCTTTTAGCCAGAGCCATCAAATCACTAAGTAGTTGACTGCACACAAACTAATAGAGAAGTCTGATTTGCAGCATAACAGGTCTCGCCTTCTGAGACAAAAATGAAAAGAGTTACTTGTGAAGCACCCAAATTGCAGAGGTTCTGAGGTTGCTGCTCAGCTTCCCTCAAGGTCATTTTCCCTTTGCTTGAACAAAAATAAAGCTATGTGAATGTACTGTGCACCAG